TCATCATGAGACATTTCGGGCGTAGTGGATGCCTTAAAAAAATATCCCTTTCTTTAAAAGTTTTGCAACAATCCAACCTCTAATGAAGCTAGATATAGTTTCGGGAACAGTCACATTTGATTACGTTCAAGCGGACAATAACATTTGGAAACAACACTGGGATCCTCATGGCCCATACCGCACGGGTCTTGTGACACCTCGGAACTAGAGTGAGAATTCCCAAGAGCGATAACCTTTAGTTACTTTGAGTACTCTGTGAGAGTAGTATTATTTGGTTACTCATGATGGTGGCCGGTTACCACTGCCTCAAAGTATTAAGTAGAATGAGTAGAGGTGAAAGTTTGTAGAATGTAAGGACGAGGTTGCCCACTTATCACGACGATTGTGTATATTAAGTCGGACTATAGTAGGGTGAATCACGATTGTTAAATTGATAATTTAATTGCAGTTGTAGAATTAATAAATGGTTTTGGATATAAAAAAATAAACGAATGGTAGTATGAACCCTTGATAACATTGTTCTGTTAAAACTCAGGGGATGCAGTGACAAAGCAAGGGATAATTAGATCCATTAGGTTAACGTCGTGGATGCCTCGTGAAGGGTGAGTGTATTGTATGAGGAGTAGAAACAATGTATAGGAATAAATCAGAGAAAAAATTAAATATGTGATTAACTATCTGTTTACTTTTTACTATGTATGTCGTTAAGTGACTTTTTATTTTTTTGGGAGTTTGTTGCGATGAAGCTTTAAATGACATGAAGGGTAAAAATGAGGCGGAGGAGTATAAAAAAATGAGAAATATTAAGTCGTTAGGATGTGAACAATATGTCTACAAAATTTGCAGCGGTAGCATAAATTGATCGGACGTCATTGACAAATAGAGGGGTATGATTTTTGTTATCTATAGTTTTTTTAGCGATCCAATACCCCAACCTCACACCTTCCATAGTGGATTAAAGATGCCCGGAAAACTCGTAATTTGGGGTGTGTCAATGATTTTTGACAAAAATGGGGTTGGAGTTTCGCATCAGGAATGAAATCCCCAATCTTGCCCAATCTTGGGTCCTGTTACGGTTAGGACAAATGCTCGATCGCAGAAGGACAACTTCTGATTAGTTCAAAAAATATATGCGGATTTCCTCACACGCTCTATAATGTTATTTACTGGGATGAAACAGTGCAAAAGTAAACGAAGGATCTCGGTTATGTACGAGCGCTCAACGACGTGTCTCGCAGAGTTAGGAATCAATGTTGAAGGTGTGTGGGTGCGCGACTCATTTCGCTACTTATGAATTTTCCGTGATAAGTAGTCAAATCGTCTCTCTCTCATATGTTCCTCACGTCGGCAGCTCGAAGACAAGGTGCAAGGCTGGTGAGGGTCAACTATTGCCCAAGGATTGACAAGCAACTCATTAAAGGGCGAGACGACACAGAAGGCAGGGAATACGATATTAATGATCATAAACCCCGAATTAACAAATTTGAACATTGTTCCTCATATGATAATTTATTTGGTCATTTGAACTATGTCGTAACCTCGCACACATCTCATTCACATGTAAGTGACCCCTGGCGTTATTAGGGAACTCGTACTACAACTAGGGATGAACAAGTGGTCGCAACACAAAGGGTTCGTGCCTGAATACGCTAGATGGTATCGTTACACGAAAGGTGTTATGATCCACTATTCATAAGACAAACAAAACCCGTTTTCCACACACATACACAGCGTGCCGAATGCATACATCAATCATTTGTTATGATCCTTCATAAGAGTGTAGCGAAAATGTTTTGTGCATCTGTTTTTTAAAACTTTAAAAATATAAATTATATCTGCGCATTCATCACTTGTGTGAGAGAAAGGTTGGTGACAGACACTCGTTTCATACACTCATGCAAGCGGAAGAATGTAACTCGAGATAAACTAAGGAATGAAAAATGGTTTTCATAGATAATATATGTATTCATATGGGGCAGAAAGGGTAAGTGTATCTCAGTGTATCTCATTTCATGCAAAACCAAGGTGACCAAGAATAAATAAGATTCATTCATAATATCGAGTAGCCCCAAACACCCATGCTGTTAAGGAAAAACAATGATGATACATATTTCTCGTACGAGTTAAAGAGTGTAATGAGAAACACTAGCATCTATTTCACATTAAAAAAATAACAAATGCACCTTCACATTCATACGATGACTCACATTCGTGCATCAGATCCACATAGTCCAAAGACCAAGGAACTTGTAGATAGAAAAACTAATTGAGAGGAAGATGAAGAAGATGAAGCATTGTCATATGCTGTTTTTATTCAAAATATATCGAAAGAAAATTAACGGTTTACCCCACTATTATACAAGTTGCACGTCAACCAGTCAACCATCATATTTTAATCCTATCAGAGTATCGACAATCCCTACCGCCGCACACCCAGTATCACTTTTCATCAATCACCACCTCGTTTACCTTGCTTCTACGTTGATCATCCCAAATCTTGCATTTTTTACATGTATCCGGTGTATGATTCCGCAAAAAAACTACAGAGCTTTCATGACTTTTCAACTTGTTGACCATCACTACCTAACCAGTACTCTATCTCAGTTGACCGATCGTATAAAAGAGAGTGATGAAGACGCACTTGAGAGATTTATAGTTGTGAAAGTGGCGATAAAAAATGCATAAAAAAAAAATTAAAAAAAAAGAGGGGAAAAAACTTGGAAAAGGGGTCGAGAAGGCCCTGTTGATCCCTCGGGTGTGCTCGTGTTCAATCGAAAAGTAGTGTGAGTTTTTTTTTTTTTTTTTTTTTCCACGCTGCGATTCAAATTCTACGGTCACGTCGGATAAGCAAAATTCTGCAAATATAGTTGGAAATGGGAAACGAGGTTACGAGAGATAGTGTAAGGCATGACCAAGATTCAATAGGATCAAGAAAAAAAAAATTGCGAAGGCCGAGAGTAGAAAATAACTACACGTTCTCGTATGAGGTGCGGATGAGGAAGAGGAAGAGCACATGAAAAATTGCATGCAATGGTGAGGACACAAAAATGCATTTGTGAAAAACGTAAAGGCACGAAAACAGTTACATGAAATGCCAATAAACATTGCGCATAGTTTCTACGACTTATTTGAAATGAAAAAGATGAAAATAAAATTGTGAGCGCACTTGCTTAGGTGCACAAAAATCAGACATGAATTTGTTTCTTCTTCTATTTCGGAATGAAAACTTACATAAATTACGAGGGCATCTTAAAAAATTATATGAAAAACAGGCTCAACGAGTTATTCGAAAAAAAAATTGTGAGCACGCTTGTTAAGGCATGCAAAAATCCTACACGAGATTCAATCTTTTTTTTACATCCGAATGAAAACTTACACAAATTATAAGGGCATCTTAAAAAATTACACAAAAAATAAGCTTGACGAGTTATCCAACACAAAAATAAAACCTACAGTTCGTGGATACCCCACCTAAGACGAAATCAACAAAGGTGCGTTATAATTCATAAAAACAAAGCCAAAAAAATATTGTGTACAAAAGGGGTGCAAAAAAACACATGGCCATGTAAGCTCGTGCGTCACTAAGTAAGTGATTGTTCATCAGAAGTATTATAATATGAATACTCATAAGTCCAATACCATTGATGTTTAACCACTTTGATTCAATAAATACAGTCGCGGAATCTATTGAATTTAAATTAAATTAAAGACTTCCAACAGGCATAGATCCGGAGATTCCCGAATGGGGTAACCCCTTGTACTGCCGCTGAATCCATAGGCGGATAAGAGAGAACATGGTGAACTGAAACATCTTACGGTTCGGGAAAGACTCTCTGATGGGCATCTCCGAACTATAAGGGTATACGCACGCAACTTCTACCCTCGACTTATGAATAATGTCCACCTTACTTTGCGTATAGAGTTTAGTGTGGGAAATCCTTTTTCTCCTATCTGATCCCCCTTTTTTGTCAATTTTTTTTCCTGCTTATCGGAGAGAAGCAACCGGACTGCAGGCCCCCAGAATAAGTGGGGTAAGAGTGGTGGGAGCGTGAGTAGTTCTGGGGAAGCTCGGGGAAAGCACTCAGATATATAGAGGAACCCGGGGGCAAGTCCCACTAGCGAGGTTTTAGTCTGCCTTTCGAAAAGATGCCCTCAGTTTCGACTGTGAAACTGCTTCCCCCGATACAGAAGCAGGGGGGCGCAAAGGTAAGTTCACACCTGCCTGTGGCATCTGCAGTTGCGTGTGCAGCGGTATGACAGGGCTATTTGGAACCCGCTTCAACCAGGACTGGATGGGATACCCTGCTCAGCTCTGGTACGTTCCGCGGCTGTCCAGTCAGGTCACTCCACCAAGGAATGGTAGAGGGTGATAGGGCCACCCCACACCACTCTAGAAATCCATGAATTCCCATGGATTCGAGAGCAGCAGCGTTCTGAGTGGCAGCCACTTAGGTGGGAAGGAGGAAGCGGGGCGTGGGCCGGAATTTGACGAAAAAGAGGGGTGGGTGGGGACACACGAGGAGGAAACACCCCCCCCTCGAAAGGAAAGGAAAAAGAACAGGATAACCGGAGGTAGCACAAATCTTTTGGGATGAAACAAGGAAAAAAAAGAACACAAACCGCCGTGAAAAGTGAAATCGAGAGAAGAAAAGAAAGAAAAGAAAAGAAAAGAAAAGAAAAATTGGACACACACAGAAACCGCCCGAAAACAAAAACGTGACGTTATGGTCCTCGAACCCCGCCTGTGGAAGGTCGGGCTCGGGATTCGGGACTCGGGACCGGATCGGGACTCGGGCGAAGCAGAATGGGCGGCTACGCAAACAGAACGCATGGCGGGAATTGTGAGCCTGGGGGAAACTCAACGCTGCCAGTGGGAATTGTGACCCTGAGGTCGTGGCAATTGAGGCGGTAGATGGACGAAAAGGGGTCGGCATGTGTTGTATTCGGGGGGGGAACGGCGTGGCGGCAGGGCGGGCGCGGCGTTTGCCGCCGCCGGGCAAGATATGGTAGATTGTGTGTGAAGCGGGAGATGATGAATTGTTGGCGGGAGCGTCCCAAAAAGAAAAAAAAAATCGCGGGAGGAGTTGGGTTGAGAGGGAGAGAATGTGTGAGAGAGAGAGTGGATGAGGAATGAGGTGAGGGAAACGGTCAGACGGCGCGAAGCCCGTCGAGAGAACGACGAAGCACTCTCTCTCTGCCTCTCTTTCACTCTCTACCTCTCTCTCTCTCTGTCTCTCCCTTTCTCCTCTTCTCTCCTCTTTATTAGCCCCCGCATCTTAGTCGGGAATTTGGAGGTGTTGTAGTCTCTGATAGGGGCGACCCAATCAAGGAGTAGGAGAAAGAACTGGCAATCAGCTAGAAGGGAGAAGGAGGGGACACGTGTACGGAGTTGGAAGTGTCATCTCTGATATCATGGACCTTTCAGATGTGTCCTCAGAGGTCTTGATCACTGAACTTATGCGTCGAATGCGCTGCGCCTCGAAGCCCGAAAAACGTGTAATTCTTGTAGGTATGTATCTCTCCATTCTTTTCCTCCTCCTCCTCCTCCTCGTTCTCCTCCTCCTTCTCCTCCACGTCTTCATCCTCGTCGGCGTCCTCCTCCTCAACGTCGTTCCCTTTCTCCTCCTCCGTCTTTTCGTCGTCGTTGTCCTCCTCCTAGCAATGTATGTCTCAAGCATCCTCCTCTTCGTCGTCGTTGTCCTCCTCCTCCTCCTCCTCCTCCTCCTTGTCCTCCTCGTCGTCCTTCTCTACCTCCTCCTCTTCCTCCTCCTTGTCCTCCTCCTCATCGTCCTTCTCTCTCTCTCTCTCCTAAACGTATCTGACTGTGAATACGGCCAGGTTCAGTGAGAGAGAGGGCCTCGTTCGAGGGCCGTTTTTCCTCTTTTATTCCTTCGCTTTTAACTTGGATTGGTTCCGCATCTTCTCTCTCCAGAGCTGCATCTGACTGCAATCACGTCCAGATGCCTGTCAGCTCTGGACGTGATTGCAGTCGGATGCATCCAGGTCCTCCATCTCCGTCTTGTCTCCACCTCCTCTCTCGTGTGACATTTTATCGTCGGTATTTCTTCTCTCTCTTTTGTGATTATTAACGTTGATCTGTTTTTCGAGTAATCGTTCGTTTTTTTTTTTTTTTTTAAATTGCTAATGTGTGCGAGTCGTATTTTCTTTCTTTTTTTTTCTGTTGTATTTTACGTAATTTTTTTTTGCTCTCCCTTCTCTCTTTCTCTCTTTTGTGTGACATTTCGTCGTTGCCTTTTTTTGTTTTGTTTTCTGTTGTTTTTTCTCTTCCTTTGTTGTGACTATTTGGACTAATCGAGTGTTTCCAGTATTCCCCCGAATAGGACGGGGGGGGGGGCGTATTATAGATAGCTGTATATTTGGGGCAGAAGGTAGTACGGAAGAGAGAGAGAGAGAGAGAGAGAGAGAGAGAGAGAGAGAGAGAGAGAGAGAGAGAGGATGTCTGGACCAAAAATTGATGACGTGGATCGGAAGCTGTGATGACGTGGACACTAAAATTGATGACGTGGATTTTTAATAGTAACATGACGATGATGTATATGTATATAGTTTGTTGATGACGTGTCAGATAAGATTTTGGTAGACGTCATCAGTTTTTTGATGACGTTGATCATTATTGTAGGTTGTACACGTGGCGAGTCCAACGAAACGCCTCTTGTACACACGTTATTCGACAACACTAGGAAAAAAAAAGAAGAAAAGATAAAATATCCTTTTTTTTTTTTTTTTTTTTTTTTAAAGAGCGCGACGGACTTGCGATATAAATCATATTGAACCGACCGGCCCCAGGTAACTCAGAATTTGTTTTTTGGTCTGGTGGGCAACTGATTGTATCTGGATTCGAATTTGGGTCTGATTCATATTTCAATAGTTCGTTGGTGTACCAGATGAGCTGAAAAAAATTAAAATAAAATCCCCGAAAATTTGGCCTGACGAAATATAAACAAATGTACTTTTCAGGCCTTTTTTTTGACAGGTAATTAAATTGGTTGGGCTTAAAGAATTAGCCTTTGAAAAAAAAAAAAGAAGAAACAAATGTACTTCAATATTAGTGCTTAATACTGACCATAGAGGTTACCGACCGGGATCTTCATTCTCCACGTCGATTCTGCCGCCTCGCCCCGAGCTCAAGACACCATCATCATGACTGTACATGGTCCGAAAAATAGCTTGTATACATTTATGATGAGGGTGCTTTGACGGTCGTGATTTCGATCTCCTTGTCTTGTTCATCATTGCTCAATCTCGTCGTTTTGTCTCCACATAGCCGTCTCTCTCTCTCTCTCTCTTGCTGTCTGCATGTCTCTCTCTCTCTCTCTTGCTGTCTGCATGTCTCTCTCTCTTTCTCTCTTGCTGTCTGCATGTCTCTCTCTCTCTCTTGCTGTCTGCATGTCTCTCTCTCTCTCTCTCTCTTTTTTTTGCTGTCTGCATGTCTCTCTCTCTCTTTTTTTTGCTGTCT